AATAACATAAATTACTGCAATTATTTACAAATAAAATACGGCAACGGAAACTTTGAAGATTGCATGATAACTCAGAAATTAATATCAAAATTTATTGCGTAACGTCATGTTAGTGCAATCGTACATCAGCCTGGTTTTTGCATTTAATAGTGTAGTAATTTTTTGAAGTAAATTAAACTTGATGATTCACCAGCAAACTTCTTGCGCATAATGGAGTTTAAAAGTTATCAAGGATGCTACCGATAAGTAAAGGGAGTCTAGTCAAATTGGGAGTGCACGCTATTTATAGAATTTGTATAACATTATAATTAAGAAAAAAACAAATATGATCGATAGTTGTCGTCATGTTTGCCGTGATTAATATTTCATTTATTCATTATTTCATTGAAGAAACTTGGTGAACAACACTAAAATACGTTAAATAACGTGCATTACTACAGGGTATATACTGGGCACTATTTGCGAAAGTGATATTCTCCACATTTATCGCAATTTACAAATTAATGACGGCAACTGAGAATAAAAAAATTAGAAAGACCTGCACAAGTACCGAAACAAGCTCATGGACAGTGCAAAAGGTTTTTTAATAGTAATTTGATGCAAAAAGTTAATCTGATGCTGCTTCAACGTGCCAATAATACAGCTAATTTAACTGTTTCAATATTCAAGCGGATCTAAAATTTTTCGATAACGTAAAATCTATCTAAATTGTTGAGATAAAGTTCGAACTACAGATTTTGCTGGTACTGTTACTTCTGTTTTTTTACTATATGGCTATATAAGCTGAATCAAGAAGAGACTGTGAGATCAAACATTTTTGGTTCAATACAAAATAACAGAATTATTCTAATCTTGCTTTTCGTACAGTAAAAACTTCCATCGCAGAATCCAAACTGAGTGTATTAGCTACTGATCTTTCGATATAGAGGTTAGAGAAGTTGTTGAGTATGTCTTTAGCCAAAGAAGCTCGACGGTATTCTTTAATAATTTTCAAAGAGCTCATGACACGTTCAGCACTAGCTGAACCGATAGCCAAGTCAAAAACGATCTGAATAAACTGCAACTCTCTGAAAAATTGTCTACAAAATTGTTTGCAATCATGAACTTCAAATAATCTAGCGGGTCGTCATTAGTAAAATTACGATTTTCCCAAAAATACGTGCTCGTAAAACTGGCTAATTCATATTTTAGATCTGTGGTGAAAAATTCCTGATATTTTTCGATCAAAGCAGTGACGCTGGTTTATAATTCGTTTTCTTTTAGACTGACTAATTTCTCTGAAATCAAAAATCGAAACACATCATTCGCTTCACGAAATCGTAAGCTCTTGCAATTCATACATTGGATCTTCTTTTTGACAATGGGAACAACCAAGATTCTCCCATTCCATCTCTTCCCATTTATTCTTAGTCTTCAGAACAAAATTATCGTATGCGCCTTCGCTGCTCAATTGTTTTAATTTTTTTAATGCTGCTGAAATGCACATTTAAGCCATCATCAAGTTTATTTCTTTCTATTGCATTTGAACTTGCACGATATTCATTACGCTCAATACTGAATGCCACCATAAATTGAAAAAAAGGTCCAGTTCATGGAGGAAAAAAAAGATCTTGCATGCATTATATCTTCGCCAGAAGCACCCACTCTTGAAATTTCATCTTCATTGCAATTGATAATACATTCAGAAAATTTCTTCCACGATATTATAACGAAGAAAATAGATATGTCATCGAACAAAAAATGCACAGTATTGTGAAAGTTTATGGTTGTAAGCATTGAAGACGTGAAAAGACTGTAATAGACGCATTAGAGTCTTTATTAGACTAAAAGAGACTGATTCATACCACGAAGATATTTATTTACTGAACATTATATGCCAGGTAATAATATATGTAATGTAAGCACAAAATGAAAAAATAACCCCTCAGCTCCTTGAGAAATAAAAGGGTCATTCGGTATTTTTTTTAGAAATGAAATAGTCATTATTCAAAGAATTTCTTAAGAAATGAAAGGGAAATTTTCTTATTCAAACTGAATGTTAAGGCGCTGTTTCATAAAAATTACGCAGCCGGTCATTAAAAGAATATAACAACACTCTGATATCTTGTTATCAATTTTACATTCAGACGCGCTGAACAATTTAGACAATAGAGCTGATTTACTGGGGGGCCCTGTGACCACCCTCCCTACTGTGATGGACAAAACCACAAAAAAGTTGTTGCACTGGCTTCAAAGGAGATGGTAAGTATTAGTATTAATCGATTCGAAGACGAGAAGAACATCTTCCGGAACATGAAGTTTTTTTACCAATGTGACCGCCCCCAACACAAATCCTGGATCCACCGTTGAAACTGATTGGTCTGTATGGTTCTGGTAGTCTAGAATCTTTACCACCTTTAGCTGATAAAACAAATGAAATTCGATACAGAGGTAGTTCGAAGCGCTGATTCAGACACTACCATAAAAAAAATCTGTGCTGTTGTGACGCCGAAT